ATTGGCATAATTTATAAAGTTTTTTTCGTGTTTCGCTCGCTAACACACGAAGGAGGAGGTGGACGGTGGGTGGTGGGAGGCGGATGGCGGGAGGTAAGCGGCGGTTGAAGTGCTCCGGATGCTCATTTCGAGATAGATAGGATAATGCAGGAAAAGCTTTTAAGGGGGTTATGAGTGCACACATCCGTATGAATGCATGTGTGTGTGTGCGGGGGTACACCAGTTGAGTTATTTTCTTTTTTTTTAATTATTGAAATTGTCAAAAAATCAAATTGAAAAATTTGATGTTGAAATGTGTGGTTGATTTGCACTTAACCCAGGAAAAAAAATAATGAAACCTGTACGCGACCAAACCATTCATAAAATTTCGATGAGCGGTAAACACGCAGAGTAATTAACGGTAAAGTGCTGCGCTTTATAAAGACCAAACTTCAGCGCCAGCCCGAATCCCATTTCCGAACCGCTCTCTCAATGCGCCAATTTTTGCAATTTATTTATCGGCAAAAGCAGAGGCAAAAGCAATCGCTGTAAAGCATACAAGTAATATGAAGAAAAATGCAATATTGATGCACCTGGGAACCCCAACCCAACCCAACCCCCCTTCCCGCCTGCCAAGGATGGAGACGTACTGGAGCGGTCCTGGTGTACTGTTACTCGTATAAAGATATGCAGCGTAAGCCAATAAGCAGGAATCAGTGGCACTGGCAGAGGAATCATAAATAAACGAGTTAATCAACATATTGACACAGACACGACGAGACGTGGCCGAGACACAGGACCCAGAGAGAACATGACAGAAATGAATTAACCCATAAAGTGACTGTTGGATTAATGCCACTTGAATGCCTTGCTTTTCGGAATGTTATTAATTTATGTTAACGAAGAAACAAACAAAAAGTGGATGGATGGATGGGTGGCTAGATAGCTGATTGGGAAAAATGGAGTTAGCCTCAAAAGTGCGTTGTGGAAAAGTTGGAAGAACTTGTTCCCTTTAAACGTGTTATCAAAATCGCAAACATTTCTTCCAACGATTGTAGGGCCCTGGCTCTAAATCAATATCTATTCCTCCCTTTAAACGGAAGCTCGAACAGCCCGAAAACCCTTTCAGAGGATGCTCTGTGAAAATGTAGGCAAAGTCGGTGGAAAATTACAATGGCTGATGCGGCTAATGATTGTTGTAATCGGTTTTTGCATGTGGTAGGCCCATGGTCGTGCCATGTCATGTTGTTTAGAAGCAGCAACAGCAACAGCATGAGCATGAGCATCAGCATCTGCTGGTGTCACCACCTCCTGCTGCTGGTCGTGCGCCTGCTCCTGCGTCCTGCTCCTGCTTCTGCTCTGATGTCCTGTCTGATCATCGATTGCCACCAGCAGAGAGATACTGCACCGCATGCACGATGGGGAAAAACACGGGCAACTGGCGTGCCAAATATGCGAATTATTTTCCACGCTGCAGGAAACAGGACAACGTCATTGAGCAATGCCAATGGGTGACGCCTACAGGACACCGAATGGGTGGACAGTGGACATTGGATGGCGGACAGTGGGCAGGGTGCCATTTTGGGGGGTAAAATGTGTTGCTGTGTCGCCTGTCTGGCAGCGGCGTCCATGAATGAATGAAAAGTGCTTAATTGCTTGTGACGGCGTTAAATAAATTCTTAATTGCTTCGCACTTTGCGCGTTTGCAACGTTAATAGGATTTCCGCCGGCCCGCCCGTCGCCCGCCGCCTGCAGGATATGCACATCGCGGGCGCTCCCGCTGGCGCTTCGGCTACCAGTTCCTGTCCTGACATCACCCGAAAAACTTCTTTCCTTTCGTGTGTTTTATTGCCGTTAATTTCCGTGGAATATTCTCCTTTTTTTCCTTTTTTTTTATAAATCCTTTTAGCCAAGTGTCAGCCTCGGGGGCCAGACCATCCTGCGGCACATCATTTGCAAGGCAAAGCGCTAAATTTCATTTTGCATACGACCCGGTGTCCCATGTCCCGGCCTCGTTACAGCGTCGCAGCGTGGCAGCGTGGCAGCGGCGTGTCCCCGTCTGCGGCTGTTGACGTATCACAGAAAAAAAAATTAAAAATGCATTTGTGACATGCTCGGGCGAAAAGAAATGCAGCGCACGTTGCAAAAACTAATGACTTAATAGCTTCGCCAGGCTTGCGGCAAGGACACACACACACGCCCCGTGGATGCCCCACAGGAGTGGCAGTGGCGCTAGAATGGGAATGTGCCGTGTCCCCAAAGTGGCGGGCCGGATCTGCTGGATGTGGGTGAAGCAGTCTGAAGCAAATGCAAATCGACCTCCTCACCCGATTATGGCCAATTCGTTTGACAGCATTCAATAACTTTTGCGCTTAAATAACAATTACGCAACTCCTGGCAAACAATTACCAAGCAGAAGCGAAAGAAAAGCGAAAGAAAATCGTAATAAATTCGGGTAAGGGTAAGGGACAGTGCACACAGAAACCCCAAAAGTGAGCGGATCTTTTTTTGTTTTAAGAAGAATTTTAATTTTCCGTCAGACAACACTTGGGGACCAGGAGCCGGGTCTTTGCGGTGGCCTAAAGTGAGGGGGGAGTGGCAAGGAAATGGGGAAATGTCTCTGGTAATGAAATTTGCATAATTTAGAAAGACATTTGGAGGAACTTTCTTTGGCCGCCGCCTGCACGCGTATAAACAAGACATTTCCGCCACTTTAATTTTCAAAAGCTTACACTTGAGATTTTATTGGCCAATTCATTGTTGGCCATTGGAATGAAGGGGAAAGGCGAAAGGGAAAACGGGAAAATGGCCATTGAAGAGAGCTAGGGCCAGGACTGCAGTTTTCGAGAAAAAAACTTACTGAATGCTGTGCAAAAGAAAAAAAAAAGTCGAATCGGTGAAAAAGGAGTTGGCAGAAAAAGTTAATCCTCGCTGAAGCGACATGCTGATGCTCTTAAGTATTCGATGGAATTGGGATTGGCTGCATTTTTTTTTGGTTAAAGGTGTATCCTCCTTTTTTTATTTTCTTTGAATATTTAAACTTATAATTGTCTAAATAATACTAGATACTAGTGCTGTTGGGGATACTTTGTTAAAGATCCTCGTCAAAGCAAACTGGCGGCTTGTACCCATATACCCGGCATTCCTTATAGTAGAAAGAAAATCAAGAAATTCAATTAAAGTTTGCCACCTGGAAGCTAATAATATTCTCATAATTTAGTTTGAACTATTCCTACAAACCGAACTAGTTAATTAACGGACTTATTAAGAACCCAACAAAGGGAACAAATCCTATCCTTACAATGGGTCATGGTTCTACAACATTATAAGGATTATCTTTAAATTTAAATGCAGAATCACTCTGGTAATCAAACAATGCCAAAGGAGGTATATTTGGAACCAGAAATCGGTTTAGTTTGGCATATAGAAGATTAACTATGGAAAGCCATGTTAGAAACTCTAGTTCCCAAGGTAGATTAAATTCGGAGGAGTAACGAAATAGATATAGTACGGGAAAACCAACCCCCGCTCACTTGCTTTGCTCGCTCGCGCCGATATGAGTAAAATATCGGACGACGACGACCGAAAACTTTTTTAAATAATTGAGAGATGACTTCCTTGAAGGCATTACAAACCCATAGCCAACACAGATGTACCCTTGAAGAAAGGTAAAAAAAAAAGTGGAAAAGTAAGTGGGTGTAAAAAGAAAACGCAGCAAGGGAAAACTTTTCCCACAGCTGTCCGCTTGAGGCTCTATCCCCAGCATCCCTTTGCCAGGGGTGTCGCTTCGATTTTCAGCTTGGCAACTTTAAAGCTCAAAAGCGCCAGGGTCGCGATTTATTTGAATAAAGTCAGTGATGGACCCGGGAAATACGAAGAATCTGAGAAGGGATGCCATGGCTTGCGATTTCCTGATGCTATTTTCTGTTTGTCCAAGTGGAGCGGAGTAAAGGGAGCCTCATGGTGCAGCTGCAGATGAAGCTGCAGCTGCAGCTTAAGTCGGGAGTGGCCAACTTATTGAATAGTTATGACAAGTAATAATATAAAGTAATCCCCAACCGGTTTCCTGCTCTCCTCTCTCCTAGCGACCTGCTCAAGAAGCTGTCCGTTAAGGCTGGCCTTATTGGCTGCTTCCGTGGCCTGGTGGTCAATGGTGAGATACTCGACATCTACAGCTACATGTCAGTGCATCTGTCGGAGATTATCAAGGACTGCAAGCCATCTTGTGTGCCCTCGCCCTGCCGCAACGGTGCCCAGTGCAAGGAGCTGTGGAGCAGTTTTAAGTGCGTCTGCAACAACCCGTGGGCCCACATCGGGGAGTTCTGTGAGACAAGTGAGTGGTGTGGCCGTGACTTTTTCTTCATCATTTCTCGCAGCTAATCCAACCTCTCTCTCCCCGAGCAGACATCAACGAGAAGGCTCTGACCTTCATCAACCGTGAGTCCTTCCTAATGCGCAACTACCTCAGTGTGGGCGCCACGCCTGCCATCCTAATGCATGGCCTGGAAGGCGAACGGGATGTACTGAAGGGCATCCTACACCAGAATCTGCTCATCAACCTACGCACCTACGACTCCAATGCCCTGGTTGTCTATGCCAACGATCACTACAACAACTTTGTGCATCTGTACATCAGCCAGAACCGGGAGATTGTCTTTCTCTACAACTACGGCGATGAGATTGTCAATCTCACATTGCTGGACGATACACTGATGGCCTCGAAGAGCCTGAAGAGCATCCAGGTGGCCATTATCCGGGGAGAGCAGGAGACCCGCATGCACGTGAACCAGCGGAGTGTGAGCATCGACAGGGGCACCCTACTCCTGGATGAGTATGCCAATAAGCCCTGGAGCAATCCGGAAAAGGGTGAGTGTGTTCAATATTCCGCAAGATGAGAAGAGTCGATGGTTTATCTCTAATTTGTGATTAGTTTTGGTTTAGTTTTATACTTCGGTCGACTTTCGAGTACTAATTGTCTTGGGGTTGCCATTCAATATCCTTGTCTAGATTAGTTCTACTTTTCTACATTACAATTTCCATATAATAGCATGCTTCAATTCAATTTTACAACAATTTCTGAATATACTAAACAAAGATAATTTCGATTCGTATGCGGAAAATTACCTGGTCTTTGCCCAGGTCTACCTTCGTCACTTCCAGCGGCTGCCCATCTTCGAGGCCTTGGCATGTGTCGTTGTGGTGCTGTTCTGTGCCTCATCCTGGGCCGCCAGCTCCTCGTCGATGAGCAGATCAAAATTGCCCAGGGCATCGGCACTCGGTACTTTGTTCCAGCGCACATCCGGCACCCCATCGGGGGGCAGGACCACAGAGAGTATGTTGTCAATCAGCTTGTATTTGAGAATGCGATCGTTCACCGTCGTAGAGGTGAGCGATGGCGAGGCATTGACCTCCACCAGCCAGGGCTTCAGGGCGTTGTCGATGATGATGTCGTAGCCATAGCACTCGAAGCAATGCCTATCGCTGGCCATCACCGGGGCCACGGCGCGCAGTGAGTGGACAATCAGCCAGGAGATGGCCCCAAAGAGGCGATCCGTCACCTCCTTGCCACGCGTTCCCTCCAGGAAAAGGGCCAGATTCTGGACGGACCATTTGCCGCCGTGCAGGGTGTTGTACTCGCCGCCGTGCTTCTGGACACTCACATTGGTCAGGTGGACATACATGTTGTCCAGCTCGGTGACACTCGTGTCGTACTTGACAGTGCAGAAGCGGCAGAAGCCCTGCTTGAAGAGGTACACCTTGAGGGGACGGAATGAGGCCACCAGCACATACAGCCGCAGGTCGAACTTCTTGCCGCCAATCAGCAGGGGATTGTCGATGTATCTGGATATGACGTACGACTCCTTGGCAATCTGCGGATGAAACGGTCCCTTGGCCTCGCGCGACCACTTCTTGAGCTTCGACAGTTTGTTGATGAGAAAGATGCCCGCACCCTGGGACTTGCCGCAGGGCTTCATAATCCAGGTGCTCAGCGGAAACTTGCGGTACTCCTCCACGAACATGTTGTAGTCAGCCGGCAGGACGAAGGTGGTGGGCACAAAGTCCAGGTAGAGGTAACGATTGCCACTCGAATTATTCGACTCTGTTTTCTCCGCCAGCGGATTGCCGTCGCGCTCGAGGTCCTTCCGATACCGCTTGATGTTCTTTACGAGCAAATCCTTGCGCGACAGCTCGTAGTGATTGGGAAAGTGATTGATCATCTGGTTGTCGTGCATCCGATAGCCGCTGTCCACGCTAAAGATGTTGCGACAGGTCTGCACCCCCGCCCAGTAGAAGTGCCAATCATCATCGCCGTTCACCTGATGCCAGCCGCGCTTCTCAAAGTTGTTCACCAGCACCGACTTGTCCAGGTCCGTGCAAAAGCCAATTTTGAGCTTGTCATGGCCCTGACCGCCGCCTCCACCGTTGGCCCCACCGCTGCCAATACCAGCGCCGCCGCCACCCCCGGCAGCATTATTGGAACCCGGCAAACGACCGTACATTGTGGCTGTGCTCTGGCCGAGCGTTGGCTGTAGACTGGTGACCCGCCACGCCTGCGTCCAGTCGCCGAGTAATGTCTCCCCTGCCATGTACATATTGGGTGCTGTATTTTGACGTTGCCACGACGTTGGCCCCCCTGGCAGTTATTGAACCAACAAATCCTGTCGTCGTTTGTGTCGGGGTTGTTGCATGCCCAAAAAAAATACTCCACACAACTCTTTCGCTTTCGGTTTGGCGGTGGCCCCTTTTGTCATCGGCGGTGGGTTGTGCTGGTTTCTGGTTTCTGGTTGCCTGGCAGCGGCTTCAGTCTTTTTCCTGGAAGCTTTTTCCGGTTTGTGGGGGTCCTTCTACGGCTCTCTGCTGTCGTTGTCGTTGTCGTTGCTGTTGTTGTTGTTGTTGCTCGTTCGTTCTGCCTCGCCGAGCCTTGCACAGAAATTTCAGCAAATAGTTTAGCAAGTTAAGCTGCAAAAATGCCAAAAATTTCCCTCAAAAACAGGGACAGCAGCCGACAGCGGGGAAAAATCTGTGCACACTGTGATGGCCAAATTATGTGCACTTGAAATTTTTTCTTTGTTGCCTTTTCAGCGAGCCAATGTCTATGTGTGTGTGTGTGTGTGTGTGTGTGTGTGCGCGAGTGTGTGTTAGCCAGAATAGTCTGTCTGTCTGTTAATGTCGGTAGAAAACTGTTGGAAAATAAAACGAAACGCCATGCGAATGGATAAAGTTTTGCTTGCCCTCTATATGGCAGAAAAAACAACGAGTTGCTTTTGTAGAATATGTATTTGAAAATGTGTTCAAAAGTGTTTGCTGTGCCGTGCTGTTTTTTTCTCTCCCTCCATCTCTTTGCTCGCTTAATATGTAAATGGAACTGCATTTCGATAAAGATAGTAGCTGCTGGGTGAAAATTGTTGATAAAACGGGAAAACGTACATACGCCGAGCATATTTGATTTCCATCTGAACAGATTCTTTTACAAATTGTTTGTTTAGCGCGTTATTTCAAATGAACATTAAACTGAAATACAATATTTTTTTTTGTATGGTAATTTATTCATTTTAAACAGAATGTATGGCAAATTCTTTAAAAATTGTATGGAGTCGATTGAGTTGTTTATCCAACATTTTTAGCATTCCTTTGGATTTTCTTGCAACTAGAATATATGCACATATTTCCTTTATTTGAAAGGTTTTTCCACATCTTAGGGACACCTCTTAATTGGCTTTTAGATATTTTAAGACACTCGTCTGTACGTTTGCGAAAGGGAATGTTAAGGATATTCCACAACAGTTCTTCGCCTGTCAATAAATCTATCAATCAAGTGTTTTTCAAATATCAATTGAAACTTAAATGTTGCGCCACAAAAATACATATTATATTACTCCAAAAAGCCACAGATCGAAAACAATTAAGTTCGTCATTCAATTGCCATAAATCACCATCAGTACATTTCCAGACAATTTTCGAGAGCCTTTCAGCCTCAAATGCTCTGCAATTAAACGTGGCCGGGCTGCAGCCTGGGTTGCAGATTACATTTGGGCAACACTGCTATTTCGTGGCGAATTGCACTTCAGAGCCGACCCAACTCGTCATAACTCACCTTGCAATTGAATTTGATCGAAAAGTTCCCCATTCATAGACGTGGAGCGCTTGCCAATTGGCAGGTCATAGGGTGGGGTGGGAGGGGACTGTGTGTGTGTGTGTGTGTGTGTGTGTGTGTGTGTGTGTGTTGGAAAATCAAACGAATTGCCCGTAACTCAATGCCAAAGCGATTTGCCAGCCAAATCAATCATAATTACTCCTCGTTTTTGGGTGAAATTTCAGCGCTGAAACATGGTCCAGTACGTTACACAGAATAACGCATAAGCACTTTTGTAATTAAATGCGTTAATCAGGACCCCATCCGAACGCAGATTCAGTGACTGTGGCAGTGCAGATAGCATTGGATTTTCGTTGTGCTGCCTGGCCAAACATTTCAATTAGACAAACTTAAACTCGAAATTGATGGGCCTAAACCTCAAACGGAGGGGGGTGTGGGGCGGCGCTGTGCGGTGCGGTGCTTAGCTGCCTGGCAGAAATGCAATGGCAATGAAGGCTCATTTCCGCACACAAACGGCCTGGAAGGCCGCCAGGCCGGCAGGCAGGCAGACAGGCAGACAGGAGGCAGTCGAGCAGGGAGCTAAGCCAAAATGAAGCCATACCCATGGCCCACCCAGCCCCCAGCCCCCCCAACCGTACTCAAACCCACTCTACCCACCCTACACCCAATCTCTCATTTGATTTTGTTTATTTGCAGAGGTTCTGTCGCCGCATCGTCCGCCCGCACCGCCCACCGAATACTTTCAGTTCCATGTCGGCGGCTACGATCCGGCGAATTTGCTGCGCCCCACCAATGTGGATGCACCCGCTCTGGAGGGTTACATTGGCTGTGTGCGGGGGCTGAAAATCGGTACGCAGTTGATCGACTTGGCGGAAATCAATGAAAGGAATATAGCGCCCAGTAAGTACGGCCGTATAAATCAATTTTCACAGAGTGCAATTTTCGGTTTGGGCCTAATGCCATTTGCTGTTGCCGTTGCTGCTGCCGTTGCTGCTGCCGTTGCTGCTCCTACTTTTGACTCTCTCTACGATTCATGCGCCTGCACCTCCACCTCCACCTCCACCGCCGCCTCTGCCCGCCTGCGGTTCTGTGGCTATGACTCTGTGGTTGCATCTGTGGCTAGGTCGGTCCCGGGCCTGGCTAACTTAATATGCATGCAATTTCCGTTAAGTGCTGGGGACGACGGTACTCCTACGAAAATGGAGATGGCGTTGCCGATGCAGAGAGGAGGCCACTTTGGGGGCGCCAAGATTAATGCCAATGCGATAAGGCCGGCCGGGCACCCACATGGCGTATGATTTATGCGGCCACGCATCGCGGAAATTGCAACCTGACTTTGATGCGATTAAGCCATCAGAGAGTCCTGCAGCTGAAGGACTTGCACTTAACACTGATTTAGGCATTAATTAATCCTCTGCCTCTTACTTTGCCTCTTACTCTGCCTCTTACTTTGCCTCTCTCACTCTTAATCTTTCTCTTTCTGTTCTGCTGCAGTCCAGGAAGGTGTTCTGCCCAATTGCCAGATCAAATGCGATGCGGAGCCCTGCAAGAATGGAGGGATTTGCCAGGAACACTTTGCCGAACAGCTCTCCACCTGCGACTGTGAGAATACCAGCTTCCTGGGCGAGTTCTGTTCGGAGGAGAAGGGTGCCGACTTTAGCGGCGAGTCCACGCTTCAGCGCAAGTTCGAGCTGTCGGGCCGGGTCAACTATGTGCGCCTGCAGCTGGCCTTCTCCTCGTTCGACCTGCGGCGGGCCAACCGCATCATGTTGCTGCTGCAGACGGCAGCGGAGCGCAGCTACTACCTTCTGCTGGCCATCACCTCGGACGGGTACCTGCAGCTGGAGGAGGATCGCGAGCAGGGCCAGACGGTGGGCGCTCGCATCGATCGGAGTTTCCTGAACAGTGCCAGGCACTCGGTCTACTACGTGCGCAACGGCACCCAGGCGCAGCTCTTCATCGACCGCGAGCAGGTGCCGCTGACGGAGTTTGCCGCCCGAGTGCTTACCACCAGCGGGGAGGCCGGGGCGAATCGCGTCCAGATTGGTGGCATCAACAGCACGGACTCGCGGTTTGCCGTCTTCAAGAGCTACAGCGGTTGCCTGTCGAGTGAGTCGTAAATTTCGTCTTGTCCCGCCATTAATTTCTTTTCGGTCTCATCAAGTGGCGCCCCTCGTCCTGTGGCTGTTGCTGTTGTGCAGCATCGTGTTGCTGCTGCAACTTTATGAACTGAAGCACAAGCTCTCCAAGGGGTGGCCTTTTGGGTGGGTTGGGCGCTAGCGTAAATGCTTCACATTGTTGACCAAAAAATTAAATTTATTCTCCGCCATAAAAAGTCATTTCCGTTGGCCGTGGCTGCCGCCGTTGCTGCCATAAATTGTGTCAGTTTTTGCTCTCAAGATTTACAGTGGCTCATATTTAAATTGCTGCTTTGCCCCTCATCCGAAACCGAAACCGCAGCACAGTGGCCAACACTTTGATTAAAAATTCACTCAGCTCTGCCACCACCCATCCCCTACGATAGCGCCACAACTGACAGAACAGCTGTTGGGGCACTGAGCGCCACGCCCAGGCCACATGTGGGAAAGCTGTAAAACTACTCCGCCACTTGATCATCCCATTAAAGAGCCATCGAAATGCGATAGTTTTCGGCCATAAACATGTTGGCGCAAGCCGTGCCACAGTGGCTCAAGGCATAGCGAAAAGTGGCTGAAATGTTACGAAACTGTCGGATGAAGACAGCATAAATGAGAGATAAACAGCTCAATTTTATTGTATCTTAAAGCTGTTTTTCCTCTTAAGGGCTTGAAGTGACTATTTTTCAATCCAAAAAACTTTAAACCGCTCAAATTATTTCAAATATACTCTGACCACACTTTTGTCTCCAACTCAAGTACTTAAAAGTGCTTAGTCCTTATTCCTTTGTGTGCTATATCATATGGTAGCCAATTACATCGTTTCCCTGCCTCTGGTGCACTCCCCAGGGAACTAAGGAGATGTACTGTAGTACACCCCCGCACATGTTTCATTAATTTGGCAACACTGTAGGCACAGCCACGCCCCCAAAACACAATCACAGCATAGAAGTAGAAGTAGCAGCAGCCTCGTCGGAAGGCGTTTACCGTTGGGCATTAAAATTTTTATTGCTAATTTTGGGGAAGAGCATAAAATACGCACGAACGACTTGCGTTTGCCTAGGCGAAACCTCGAAGTTCAGTGAAGCCAAACGGCAGGCCCGAGACCCGAGACCCTCCCCACCCCTCACCCCTCACCACTCACCCCAACCAAGGCTCGATAGCGAAACGCAATTCCAATTTCCACTCGAACTCGAACACACACATTTGCATTTCAATTTGAATTAATGACCAATACTAATGAAAACTTCAACCACCCACAACCACCCCCCCCCCCCCCCCCCCCCCCCCACATAATACTCCCCGACCGCAAATTGGGTAAACCAACCTGGAACCGTGCACACTGCCCCTCCGGCCAGACATCTACATACAGGTGAACGGGCATGTTATGAAGCCACTCGAGGAGTATATGCTGTTCACCAAGTCGGGGGCCGACAACATAACCGTCATCAATCCGCAGGGCGTACGCAGTGCCCAATGCAATGCCAAATTCGATGTGAGCGAACAGCCTACCCAGGAGCCTATGGTCAATGTGAGCATGGTGAGTACACTCGAGGGAACTGCGAACTGGGAGCTGGGGACTGGGAACTGGGAACTGGAAATAGGGTTATCTGAATCAACCAGGCGACAAATTGAGCTAATGAATGCAACCACCACCCACATACTCGTACTAGATACCCGAGCCTTGGGTGGAGGAGCCGCCGCAGCGAGTGCCCTATATTCCCAGATTTGTGTACGATGAGAACAAGAAGGAGGACTCCACACAGGTCGTCTTCCTCACGCTGACCAGCGTGTTTGTCATCATTGTCGTGTGCTGCCTGCTTGAGGTGTATCGCAGTCATTTGGCCTACAAGAAGCGCATCGAGCGCGAGACGGACGAGGACATTATTTGGTCGAAGGAGCAGGCAACCAAAAT